AGAAGAGGTAGAAGATACTAAAGGCAGAATCAAACTTATAAACGGACAGCTCTAAAAAAGAGACAGAAGATACTAAAGGCAGAATCAAACTTATAAACAGACAACTCTAAAAAAAAGACAGAAGATACCTATTAGGCAGAATCAAACTTACAAGAGAGACTGACAAAATCATCGCAGAAAACGAAAACGTCGAAAAGACAAACAATAGTTTACAAAACATTTCATAAAACATGTTTAAAGGATGTGTTATATCTTTCGTGACAATGTTATACTAAATCCTTTGATATATCAAAATCCTATCGATTTTTATGAATTGTTTATGAACTAAAATGATGGCTGATTTTTCTTGCGTGATGTGTCACAATCTTTGGGCTTCATATCCGATCTAGGCACACTTCGAGCTGATTTACACAACCATACTGTCCAAATGTGCGTGTTGCCATTTTGTAGTGCCAATTTAAAACAAAAATGAAGTTATAGATTTCCTTGTAGGAAATGGGTATAATCTGCAGTTAATGTGATCCAATCTAAAAACAACTTCCGCTGAAAGTCGTAGGTTTTTATTTAAGTACAATCTTTAGCTGCCTGACATTTGTTCATTTGAATTGTGGGTATGAATACCTAATAAGGATAATGAATAATTAATTATCGTAAAAAGATATGAACACGACATGTCTTACATAAGAAGTTTAATCGGTGTATTTTGTATTTTGAAATCATACAAAATAAGATAGATAATTTATGATGAGTTAACATGTTTTTTGGAACCACGGACTCGGAAAGTAATTTTTTAAAAAGCTTTATTAAATGGTGTTATTCTTCAAATGTTGATAAGACATTTGTCTGTTAGATATACACAATAACATCTTGAATTACTACTTTAATACCTTTTTTCTGTAGACTTTCAAATTTGTCAAAGTTTAAGTTTAAATTACAAAAACCGCAAAATTGTATAATGATTAAAGCCATGGAAGCCAAATCGTTCAGTAGTTTATTAGAGTCTCACCACATACATACAAGTATAAACACAATATGACATTTAATACACAATATAAAATTTAGAATGCATGTGCCATTCTTAAAAGAACTATGAGAGACTTTTATAACAGCACAACTATTCTCGTCTCCATCTGTATGCGTAACACACAAAGGTAATTAAAACAAGAAAAAAATAGAAGAAAAGTATAATTGTACTAAGAAAGTAGAATCAAAACATATAAATGACTTTCTTGACAATTTAGCTAGATCAAAGATAACACAGATATTTTTAAAAAGCTAAATTAAAACTAATTATAACATAGATACTATTTTAAAGTTTTTTGGTAAAATGCTAATTAATGATGATCTTTTGTTAATTGAAAGTATATCTTTGAAAGGCCTTGATCAAACTAGTTTTTTTTTCTAATGCCATATGTAACACGGCTTTGAGTGTCATAAATGCGGATACTAACTTAGTTATGACGGCACAGGAACATTTGAAATGACTTTTCTGTACCTACATACTGTTTTTATCATAATCATTTACTAGTATTGACAAAATCAACACTATCTAAGAACATTGAAGAAGTTAACGATTTTGATGATTTTCGGGGCAAATAAGTGGCTAACATATCGTCATATATATATAAAGTGCCTAGAAAACCAACCAAACAATGTTAGAGTATATCTGATTCTTTACTTCCTCCCCGACCGGGGCTGGAACCTGTAAGTTTCACTTCATATTTCTACGACAACACCGCCTAGCATTGCGCAGACGCCTTATCCCCTCCTTTAACTATAGCTGATAAAAATCAGCTTTCGTTTCGGGAGGTGTTACCTTCTCGTAGGAATTAAACAAGGACATCTAACACAATGCACGAAGTATGTTTAAGTGTACAGGAATTATCATCTACTCATCTCTTCAGTATAATTACAGGATGTTATTCTATTTTTAGATATATATATATATATATATATATATATTTAGTCTTTTGGAAAATGTTGTTTGTGCTGTATTTAGACCCCTCTACCAAGAAATTTGTTTTGCATGCACATGTATAAAAATTGCGGTTTTTATCCAACGAAATCATAGGTTTGAACGTTGTTTTCAATTTAGACTTGTTTATATTTTTTCGTTTGGGCTTGTATTATATTTGCCTTCGGGTTTATATGATCCGTTCATCCGATTTTAACTCTTTCAAACAACTAAGACTCAATTATGTTTTCAACATTTTTAACAATATATGCCCAAATTATTTACATACTAATTTTGTTAAAAATGAAACATCTTTCAATACAAGATCTAGTTGTAAAAACTTTTATATACCAGGAATTAGAGGGTGTGAATCCACCACTTTCTTTTATAATGGAATAAAAGACTGGAATTCGTTACCAGAAATGATTAAAAGTTGCTCTAAAAAATATAATTTTAAAGTACAAGTGAAAAAGTTTTTAATGGATAAATTTAAATCCATCTTTAATAGTGAATTTGTTTTTTTATTAATTATACTGGGGCTTTGACCATATATCTGTGATAAATTCTAAATGATTTGTGCTTGTATTTTCTATGTGTCAACCCTTGGTGTAAACTGGAAGTTTTAATAGCTTTTGTGGCTCATCCTAAGATATTAGGCTACAGTGAAAATCTAGTCAATTTAAATTTCACTCATTATTATTTAATCTAGTCTATTCATATTATTAAAATATCATGAAAATTTTCATTATTTTATTTTTTAAATTAAAATTTTTAGTAAACATGTATATCATTTTAGTGTCTATAAACTATGTCTAGTGCTATATCTGTGTCTTTGTAATATTTTGTATCTGTCAAATTCATGCCTTTTTATCTTGAATAAATATATATATAAATATATTATGATTGCGTTGGATAAAAACCGCAATTTTTATACGTGTGCATGTAAAACAATTTGGTGGTAGAGGGGTCTAAATACAGCACAAACAACACTTTCCAAAAGACCAAAAAGAGTGAAAAAGTATATTTTAACAAAACGCATTTGACTAACAGGTCGAACAACTGATGTTCTTAAACCCTGCTGACTGCCATTGACGATTGCCAAATAAATTGATCACAAGATTTAACAAAATGGATCTTAATATTAATTTAATACCAAACAGAAAACAATAAACTTGCGGGAAAGATGGTATACCACAAACATGAGGTACAAAAATTTGTACACCATATCCGGATTTCGACATTTAATGTCTCTCCAGTGATGTTAGGGATCGAAACGGTATTTGGAAGGCCATATAATTTACCTCAATTTAGGATAGACTCTTGAATTTTAAAGAGTCGAAATAGGATGAACGGATCATATAAACCCGAGGGAAAATATAATACAAGGCCAAACGAAAAAATATAAACAAGTCTTAATATATATATATATTGCTTGTGTTTTTCCCCTTCATTTTCCTGGGTTTCCGACCTCCTCGTATTGCTTTTAATTTTAGGTTTTCAAATTAATAAATTAACCACATAAATGTTTTTTTTAGAAAAGAAGTGGTCTACGATAGGCATAATTAATATAATTATTTGACAAGGAACTTGTTATATTAATAAGTTATTACTTTCAGCTTCCAAATTGTGAATCTCCATTTCTATGTATCAACATTCCAGAAGCACCTGCATACGGAGTATATATCTTCCAGTTGATACGATATTCCAGGGCTTGTATTTCCTATCATGTTTTCCTTGATAGAAGGTTGCTGCTCACGAGGAAGCTATTGAACCAAGAGTTCCAAGTGGTGAAGAAGAACTCACCCCTTCGTAAATTTTACGGACGTTATCACGAGTTGGTTGACCGTTATGGAATATCGGTTCCACATATTCTAATTGTCGCAACTACAATCCCGTTCCCTTTTCTCCGAATGTTACCTACCAAAATAGACTAATCACCGGGTTTGTACTTATATATATACACGAGCAACACGACGGGTGCCATATGTGGACCAGGATCTGCTTACCCTTCTTGAGCACCTAACATCATCCCGTTTTTGGTGGGGTTCGTGTTGCTCAGTCTTTAGTCTTCTATGTTGTGTTTTGTAAAGTGTTGTTTGACTTTAGTCGTTTTTCGTATTTTCGCCATGGCGTTTTCAGTTTGTTTTCGACTTATGAGTTTGAATGTCCCTTTGGTATCTTTCGACGCTCTTCTAAGTCGACGAAAGATGAAATATGCCGACATTTTGAAGAAACACAATACCATTTAACATCATTGCCTAGTCAGTTTGACGTCTTCGCTGAAACAAAATAATGAGTGAAATTCTGTCACGTTAATTTCAAATTCGTAAATAAAAGCAATTTTTAGTGAAAAACAAATACATGTATATATTGAATGTTTTGCACTATTTTCAAACCTAGATTTTAATAATAATGCCTCTATGAAAAGATTCTTTGTATCATCCAATACATGATTTATTGTTGAGAGCTCTCACAGAAAAGTTTGCGGTGTATGGAAAATATCATTCCACCAACAGAATCCTCGTAGTTTATGGATCCCCACATCATTAAATTACTCTTGCTTGTTTGTGAAAGTGGAATTCAAAACAGTATAATGCATGTTGGTTATATTGGTGTATATATACTGGTAACCATTCATCAAACATAACAAACTGAAACTAAGGGTAGGCTTATATATTAAGCCAAGATCAATTACAAATTTTATTTTATGATTATTTTCGAGGATGTTAAACATGTAGAGTACATGCAGGTTACGTTTCAGGGAACACAAGAGGGAAGGTGCTGTCGGTAGTTTCACTGATAAATAACGCTTTCTATTGTAGCTAACGAAACCATCAGACATTTACCGACTACTAGCAGACATTTACCTCAAGACATTTATCAAATTTCCCATGATTCTAGGCAATTATCATCTGACGATACATCACAAGAGGACCGAAGTTCTGACAGACTTGATCATTACGACACAGATGATGTCCGACATTCTCCACCAATGATATCGATAAATAGTTCTCCATCTCATGGCGTAACTGTGACGTCCTCACACATGTCTATTGATCATGAAGGACTTCCCGGAAGTTCATGTGGACCAATGAAACGTAATTCGCCTGGTCTGATATGTGTTGTCTGTGGCGATACTTCGAGTGGTAAACATTATGGTATCTTGGCTTGTAATGGTTGCAGTGGTTTCTTCAAGCGAAGCGTTAGAAGAAAACTGATTTACAGGTACATCAACACTTTAATTTTCCTTATACAAAGTCGTACGTGTTGGCCATTAACGTTTTTAAATTCTAAACAGGTTACTTTGAACGTTCCTGAATAAATGTAATACAAAATAAACCTTCGGACATAAAAGATTTCGTGTCTTTGACATTGATTGAAAATTGTTATGACTTTAGTCAAACCATGAACATATAATGCAATGATAGATATGGTCCTATCTTAATGGGATTCTTCAAAATATTCCGGACTCGGTGTGTTAACTTATCAATTTTCATTAAAAACAACTTAATCCCGGAAAAAAGACATACATAATATAAATGCATTCCTTTTGCTCATTTATACTTGCTTAAATGAAAAGGTTTAATTTTGTAGATGCCAGGCAGGTTCAGGACTGTGTATTGTAGACAAGGCCCATAGAAATCAATGTCAGGCTTGTCGTTTGAAGAAATGTATCCAAATGGGAATGAACAAAGATGGTAAGTTCAAGAATTGTAGTTTTAAAAGTACCTTTATAAAATATTGCTTATTCATTTATCCAATTTGTTCTTGAAAATATCAGCTGTAAATATGAATTTTCTCAAGATAAACGTTTTGTTGCACCTTGACAGTGTAAATACCATGCCAGTATTTTTTTTTCAAAAACATACCCAGAACATGTTAATAAAATGCTCTAAATAAGTATATTATTTTTTTAATTCCAGCTGTTCAAAATGAGCGGCAGCCCAGAAACACGGCCCAGGTGCGACATGACCAATTAATAAGCGAACTTGATGGCCCATTTCCACATAATAATGCAACTGTATCGGCAACACATCCAGCTTTCAGTCCTGGACTAAACAACAGGTTTATAACTGGACTTATGACCTCAGATACTAGCACTAAGCTGGAAAATGACGAAAGAGGTACATCTCATTTTTGTAAGTTTACATAACGAACATTACGTCACAATATAGTTAAAATGTGGATTCTCCGTCCAAGCTTCGCGTGATGGGGCGGGTGATGTTTGACATTATATGTTGTAATAGGACGGGTGATGTTTGACATTATATGTTTTGATAGGACGGATGATGTTTGACATTATATGTTGTGATAGGACCGGTGATGTTTGACATTATATGTTGTGATAGGACGGGAGATGCTTGACATTATATGTTGTGATAGGACGGGTGATGTTTGACATTATATGTTGTGATAGGACGGGAGATGCTTGACATTATATGTTGTGAAAGGACGGGTGATGTTTGACATTATATGTTGTGATAGGACGGGTGATGTTTGACATTATATGTTGTGATAGGACGGGTGATGTTTGACATTATATGTTGTGATGGGGCGGGTGATGTTTGACATTTTACGACCATAATTTTACTACATTTACAATGATATAAACTTGAAGCTATCCGAGGGTCTAGATGGGGTCCTTTATTTCTTAATTCTTCGACTTTTTAGATCATTTTATCTATACTTTATTTATGTTGATCCTTATTCTCTTTTCTTTATTTTTTTATCCTATTTTTCTCAATTCTTTATATTTTTTGCCCCTTATTCTGCACTTTTTGACTTTATTCTCTATTCTGTAAACCCCATTAACAACCTCTTATCTGTCTTAATGCAGTTTCAAAGGTACAGGGTACTTGAACTGACTGAACTGGGTTAAATATCTAGTTAAAGCATTTGTTGTAGGCTCACGAAAAGTAACAATTAAATTTCAACATATTTAGATTACTAAGTCAGTCATTACATTTTGTATAACCCTTGTAAGAAGTGGATAGCTTTTATGAAGAGAGAAAGGTGAGCAACGTATTGTTTCGCATTTTTTAACTTACATAAATAGTAAACACAGGCGATTCCTTTCTTTGAAATGTAGTAATATCGCGCTGGAATGATTGAACATGGACAACAGCATAACAAAAATATTGAAGAACAAAACAGTAGTAACACAATCTTCTGTAGATGTGTATCTTGAAAAGGCTTTGGATGTCTTGTTGATAGGACAATTGTAGGGTACAGTAATCAGCTATGTCTTGTTGATCGGACAATTGTAGGGTACAGTAATCAGTTATGTCTTGTTGATAGGACAATTGTAGGGTACAGTAATCAGTTATGTCTTGTCGATAGGACAATTGTAGGGTACAGTAATCAGTTATGTCTTGTCGATAGGACAATTGTAGGGTACAGTAATCAGTAATGTCTTGTTGATAGGACAATTGTAGGGTACAGTAATCAGTTATGTCTTGTTGATAGGACAATTGTAGGGTACAGTAATCAGTTATGTCTTGTTGATAGGACAATTGTAGGGTACAGTAATCAGTTATGTCTTGTCGATAGGACAATTGTAGGGTACAGTAATCAGTTATGTCTTGTCGATAGGACAATTGTAGGGTACAGTAATCAGTTATGTCTTGTTAATAGGACAATTGTAGGGTACAGTAATCAGTTATGTCTTGTCGATAGGACAATTGTAGGGTACAGTAATCAGTTATGTCTTGTTGATATGACAATTGTAGGGTACAGTAATCAGTTATGTCTTGTCGATAGGACAATTGTAGGGTACAGTAATCAGTTATGTCTTGTTGATAGGACAATTGTAGGGTACAGTAATCAGCTATGTCTTGTTGATAGGACAATTGTAGGGTACAGTAATCAGTTATGTCTTGTTAATTTGACAATTGTAGGGTACAGTAATCAGTTATGTCTTGTCGATAGGACAATTGTAGGGTACAGTAATCAGTTATGTCTTGTTGATAGGACAATTGTAGGGTACAGTAATCAGTTATGTCTTGTCGATAGGACAATTGTAGGGTACAGTAATCAGTTATGTCTTATTGATAGGACAATTGTAGGGTACAGTAATCAGTTATGTCTTGTTGATAGGACAATTGTAGGGTACAGTAATCAGCTATGTCTTGTTGATCGGACAATTGTAGGGTACAGTAATCAGTTATGTCTTGTTAATAGGACAATTGTAGGGTACAGTTATCAGTTATGTCTTGTCGATAGGACAATTGTAGGGTACAGTAATCAGTTATGTTTTGTCGATAGGACAATTGTAGGGTACAGTAATCAGTTATGTCTTATTGATAGGACAATTGTAGGGTACAGTAATCAGTTGACATCACTGAAACAAACAGATTGACAAAGATTTTCATTTACGATCAACAATATTTGTCTTGTACTTTTCAGCTGTCCATGATGAGAAAGTTGATGTGACTAGCCTTGACCAAGACCGAACAGGACATCCACCACCTGGACAGTTTCAAGATGTGTCGCTTTATTCTCCAGGTCAAGAGACCGTATACGAATGTTCAGCGAGGCTTCTATTTATGGCTGTAAGATGGACTAAAAATCTTCCATCGTTTGCTAATTTACCGTTCAGAGACCAGGTATTATACTGTTTTGTTAAAAAGACTTTTAAACATACTTTTTTATTTTCTGGAACCGGTAGAATGTATGGCTGAATAGACTTGTCCGCTCTCAGAATATTATAGATGACTTTTTTTTTTAATTTTTTCAACTTCGAAAATAAAACATCGACGTGTAATTGATATAATTGGTGACCCTTTTGAAAATACCCACCTGTACTGGTTGATTTGACTTTGATTTTTGTGCTTATACTTTTTACAAGAAATCCTGCACGAGTCCAGCATTTAGCTCAAAGAAATATTTCACTTCATATAAGTTATATATCAATAATTTGTTTGGTAAAGAGGACAGTAACTTATTTGAATAAATTGTTTTTATATATATTTTTTTCGGATTTTACAGAAAATGTTTTGTATTGAATGCAGATTATGTTTACAGCCTGTTTTATTTAGGTGATACTTCTGGAAGAGTCATGGAGTGAGATATTTCTACTGTGTGCCATACAGTGGTCCATGCCTATGGATTCGTCACCGCTACTTGTAGCCCAAGACCACGAACAACAGCCCAATGGCAAAACTGGTCCCACTGATATCAGGATTCTTAAAGACGTTTTTGCCAGATTTAAATCAGTACAAGTTGACCCAGCTGAATTTGCTTGTATGAAAGCGGTTGCATTGTTCAAACCAGGTTTGTTGGATGAAAAGAGTTCTTTCAAACATAAACTGCTATATTATACTGTAACCATGAGTACATTATATGATATAACTGTATTAATACTAGACAGTTAGCAGGAGCTGTAGCCTGCCAACTGATCTTATTTATTTATTTATTTGTAACTAATATTTAAAATTGGACTTAATTTTTAATCCAAAGTAGATATGATATATGGTTCACATTATATTGAAGTATTAAAAAAGGAGACATTGAAGTCAATAGATGGCTTTCAAGAAGAAACGACCACACCATGTAACAAGCTCGGAATCACTCAGAGTCTAGAGAAGTTGTGTATAGCTTCAACAGAAACCCAGCATCAATTTAAACCAAAATATAATTCTCAAGAAACAAACAAAAATAAAAATATTAAAAAAAATGACGAGTTTCCTAACTGGACATCCACATAAGATATCCCAGGTTTAACTAGTTTTGATTTTACTGAGCGTTTTTATATTTTCTGTGGATATATCTAAGCCAAAACGCACAATGAAAACGGGCAAAACAAGAGTTCAAGAGTTTTTATATCTGTATTACAAGGGTCATAAGCATCTACAAAATACGTAATAACATTGTACCAAAAAATTGCCCGAATTTATCTAGAGCAAACTGAAAGAGTTTACCCTGCTAACCACTCGTTCTACCACTCAAATATCTTCTTAAGCACAAAGGAGATAACAATGTCAAAATTAGTGATATCTAAATATCCTTTGTTTTTGTGTGCCATTTGGTTGATATCTTATTGAATGATAAGCGTAAAGAATTTCTGTACAAAATAGAAAATGCCTGTCTCAAACCAGGCTATATTTCAGTGGTCTTCCATATTTGTTTTTCATTGAATGTTATTTGCTACGAAGCGGTCGTTCGTTTTACGTTTTGACTTGTTTCACAGTTTACTTTTTTTTACGGTATGTGATTAATTAATTCTTGAAGATCGTTAACCTTTGATCTTTGGTGGATAGTCTTCTCATATCGAATCCGCTTATTTTAACAAAGCAGACATGTCATGCTTCAACCCCTTCCCCAAAAAAAGAACCCTCAAAAACGAAACCAAAATTCAAAACAAAACTAAACTAAACAACCAATATAAAAAATGGAAAATGAATAAACATAACAAAATAACTCAAAAGCAATAAAAAAAAAAAACCACGACAAAAACTAACTAAAACATAATAATTACTCACTCACTATCAGTCTTGAAATTAACAATGGTCGTTTTGAATTTCAGAAACAAGAGGTTTGAAGGATCCACATCAAGTCGAGAGTCTACAAGATCAAGCGCAAATTATGTTAGGACAGCATGTGCGCACGCATCATCCAACACATCCCATGAGGTAATTGCATTTTTGTGAAGTAAATATGAAAATGACATTTTTATTACTGTGTATGAATATCAAATGCAGTTGTCGTGCGGGTAAACCAATCATAAATGAATTTCCAAGAGTTTACAAGTTCGTCTTGTAGACAACTAGGGTATGCTTGGCTTGAATTGAAATCGAAAATATTATGAAAGGATTTTTATTATTCTAATTGTCAAAAATAAAGAGATTCGAGTCAATTTGATTGGTAATAACAAGGAGATGTTTTAACGCTGTAGCGATTAAAATTGATAAAATAAAAGGACAACTCCATCATACAGGGGTTTGTAAAACATTTTAATAATCGGAATTTTTAGAGGTTTGAACATATAAAACACCTGAATCTGAACGTTTTGAACATTTATGCCCGGTCAGATTTTCTCTATCTATAGTGGTTTTCAAGATAATAGACAAAACTTGCATTTTGCCCGTATGTTCTAATATTTGCCATGTCGGCCACGTTGTTTGGCAGACTAAATTCCCCAATTATGATTGTAATCAAGAGTTTTGTTCTAATTGGACCAGTGGTTTCAGGGGATAAGATTCTTGTAAAAGCTAACGGTTGGCGGACAGTCAACTTATAATTAACAGCAGTGGTTTTATAAGAGATGAAGTAAAAGCTGTAGTTGAAATGTTGCCCTTATGGTATCTTATGCAAAGTTGGATATGATGGCTGAAATGGTTCCTAAAATTAGAGTAGTTGTTGGGTAAACGTCAATGAGACGGCAAACCACCGACACAAAAAACATCCAGAAATTAACATATTTCCTTCATCAAAAGACAGATCTTTACAACAAATAAAGCGGTCAATTGTCGAAAAGGTGAACAGTTCTGAATATGTGTGTCGTAGTCTATCAACCATCTCTAATGTACAGAAGACATCCAAAAAATATAGATATAACATGAATTTCACTAATCGAAAAACAAATCATGATCACGGATTAAGATCGTTATCACGAATTGTATAATTTGTATTTTATCAATTTAACGTGATAAAAAAGACGACAAATATATGAACATTTTGATGTTAAATAATCTATACTTATTCTATACAGGTTTGGAAGGTTGCTTCTTATGCTGCCGTCATTGAAGTTTGTTGGTTCAGATAAAGTGGAGAAAATCTTCTTTGGACGAACGATCGGAAATACTCCTATGGAAAAACTGTTGTGTGATATGTTTCGAAATTAAACCTTATATCTGTAAAATGATAAACACTTTAATATAAATATCATTGTTATAAATTTTAATTTATGTCAAATAAATTCATCTTAAAAAAAAATTAAATGCAAAAATGACGTGTTTGGATTAATATGAAAGGTTGGTTATATTGCCACCTGTTGAATGTGAACTGCATGTGTATAATGAACTGTTTTAATCTCTGACAGAAACATGGTAGATACCATGATACATCAAGAATCGAGAATCACATGATTTGAAGGTCAACTTAGGTTAAGAAATATGGCGAACAGAACCACAACTTAATTAATTTGTTAAGAAATATGGCGAACAGAACCACAACTTAATTCATTTGTAAGTTGTGCCATTAAAAGATGGAAAACATACGAAAGGTCAATGAATAAAACATTAATCGGAGAGAAAAAAACAGACAGCGTCATAGCCAAAAGGAAAAACACACTAAATAATTTAATTGAACCGAACAAATCCCATTTAAACCCGATTCAGTACTGAAATAGACCGTTGTCTTTGTATTATCGTGTGACAAACAGATAACAGAAACTAAGATAACCTACATTAGCATATATGAAAATAAATCTACAATGGAATTGTTTCATACATGGTTTGTTATTGTACTTTTGTCTTTTCAAATTATTGCTGTCTTTGCCGATGACATTCTGGTGTTAAAGCAAAGATTGGATAAATTAGAAAATGAACTTAATGAGTTAAAATCTACATGTGGGAAAAATGGTATGTAACTGTCATTGTAATGCAATTAATATTCTTACATATGTTATAGTTATGGGTATGGTGATGTATATGTATGTACTAAAAACAAAACGTGGACACCTAAACAAAAAAAGTAATTTAAATGGCAGAATGATATAAATTGATAATCTCTTTCCAACTCTTGTTGCTGTAAAAAATAACTGTCATTATGCAAAATTCGTAAGACAAGGCTTATGACACCATTAAACATATGAAATTTTCAGGTATAAATTCCATATTTATTTCTTTTTTAAATTATTAACGTCTTTAGACTCAAATCCTTATCAAAGTATTGTTCATCTTCTGGTGAAATATTTCTAGCTTGTAATTCAAGTTGTGTAAATAAGTGTGCGAGTAATGTTTAAGTGATATTTTAATTTCTGATTTTTATGTCGTTTTTAGGAGAATATTGAATATTTTCTAAACGGTATAAATGGTTTAACTTTCGTCATTGCATTTTGCTATAAAACAAGGAGAAATGACATGATTGCCAATGAGACAACTATCTAATAGAGACCAAATAACGCAGATGTTAGCAACTATAAGTCGCCGTGCGGCCTTCAACAATGACCAAAACCCATACCGCATAGCAAGCTATTAAAGGCCATGACATAACAAAATGTTAAACATCTAAATTTAGAAAACCGACGGTCTGATTTTTGTACAAAACAACAAACGAAAAACAAATATGGTATACGGTAACAAACGTCAACCACTGAATTACAGGCTCCTGACCCTGAACAGGCAAATAGAACACATGGTGGGGTAAAACATGATTGCGGGCGCCCAACCCTCCCAATAACCTGGGAAAGTGGTGTAACGTCACAACATAAGAACAAACTATAAACATAAGTTGACAAGGGAATGAATAATCCGATTAATACGAAGCAAAAAAAAAAAACAAAAAAAACAAAACTAACAAAAACATTAAAGACAAAAAGCACCTTTCCGAGAGTACTCGCAGTTACTGAAAGCTAGTTCCTTGCCAATAACAACTAATAACAATATCATGTGCAATGCCAAAATTTAAGTTTCAACAAGAAGTAGAACCGTAAGCGTTAATAATATTAAACAATACATAAAATTGAGAATGGAAATGGGGAATGTGTCAAAGAGACAACTACCCGACCATAGAACAGACAACAGCAGAAGGTCACCAACAGGTCCTCAATGCAGCGAGAAATTCCCGCACCCGGAGGCGTCCTTCAGCTGGCCCCTAAACAAATATATATACTAGTTCAGTGATAATGAACGCCATACTAAACTCCAAATTGTACACAAGAAACTAAAATTAAAAATAATACAAGACTAACAAAGGCTAGAGGCTCCTGACTTGGGACAGGCGCAAAAATGCGGCGGAGTTAAACATGTTTATGAGATCTCAACCCTCCCCCTATACCTCTAGCCAATGTAGAAAAGTAAACGCATAACAATACGCACATTAAAATTCAGTTCAAGAGAAGTCCGAGTCTGATGTCAGAAGATGTAACCAAAGAAAATAAACAAAATGACAATAATACATAAATAACAACAGACTACTAGCAGTTAACTGACATGCCAGCTCCAGACTTCAATTAAACTGATTGAAAGATTATGTCTTCATCATATGAATATCAGGCACAATCCTTCCCGTTAGGGGTTTAGTATCATACCATCATAACATATATGAGAAGAGCATAACCCGTGTCATGCCAACAACTGGTTTTTAAATAAATGTGTTTAGTGCCGATGCAAAGACCCTATAAGTGAATCAATATTAACGCCAAAATATGCAATCTTTAATGACCTGACAACAGTATCGTAACTATATCCCTTCTTAATAAGTCTATTTAAAGGTTTTGTTAGCTTCAGAGGTGAATACTGACATTTTTGTGCTTTATAAAGAATATTTCCATAAAAAATTGGATGTGAAATACCTGAACGTTTAAGAAGTCTGCATGTTGAGCTATATTTACGAATGATGTCCTTATACCGATGATAAAATTTAGTAAATGTTTTGACTAGTTTGTGATATCGAAAACCCTGGTGTAATAACTATTTAGTTATTTTTAATTTATTGATAAGAAAATTAATGTTAGTACTGATGAAAACAAAATTCATAGACTGGTATAATTATAATGTTAAACTGATAACCTTAAAGTATAAGTTTATTCAAAGAATAGATAATCTAACATGGATCGGTTCTATTGAACATATCGCCTGGTCTGATTATGATTAAAACCCCGCTCCGAGGAAGCAGGATACTGATTTACCTATGTCCGTCCTTCGGTCCGTTAATTTGACCACATGTCATGCAAATTTTTCGAATTTGCCTCAGAAACTATAATCTAAATTTTGGTATCAAGCTTTATGCAAGCTATTGATAGTATCATTAAAGTCATATGATACTTCAAATTATAAAATAAATGTGACTATGTTTCCTATTCTTGAATGGCTAAGATCTACTATAAAACACGTGTACATGAACTTTCTTTTAAAAAAAAACTCTTTCATCTATTAAATTCTCCAGAAATGTACTGGAACTGAATTATTGTCTTCCCGTACATGATCCCCGATATAATTTCCGTATACAGTGACCTAAAACACGAGACCTGCACAGCGAAAGTACGAGGGAAAAACCGCGATGAAAGAAAAGGTAAACAAATGTGGAATAAGTTAGATAGAGAAAGGGTAAACAAATGTGGAATAAGTTAGATAGAGAATGGGGAAAAAAATGTGGAATAAGTTAGATAGAGAAAGGGTAAACAAATGTGGAATAAGTTAGATAGAGAAAGGCTCACACCGAACAGCAAGCTATAAAGGGGCCCCAAAATGACTAGTGTAAAACTTTTCAACAGGAAAACCAACGGTCTATAGCGTGTCTATTGTCTCACTTATTTTTCACGTACTCTGCATGATTCTGTGTTGATTGTTTATTATGGTCACATTCGATAAACTTCGCCAATAAAACACGAAAGTTAATTAGCAGGGAAAGTTTTCTCTGAATGAGATATTGTTTTGTCGATTATATGTTGTGGATTCGTAAAAAATACAAAAAAATGTGCATAGAGAACATAATTTAGTATATATACATGCATTGGTTCAATAATTTCCTTAACATCATAATTTTAAGAAACTCATTTCATGACTTTTATCAGCTATTTTCATAATACTTAATGTTGTACCTTCTTTTTTAATCCATTTCTTTGAGATAAAAAAAGGGAGGGTAAAGACAAAAAAAAAAATAGTTGAAACCAGTGACATATGCATCTGACTGTTCCTGTTTGCTGATCTTTGAAAGTTTCTGTAAAAGTTATTCACAACTTCCTGGGCTCAGCACAATTTAGATATATTTGTCTGTGTGTACAACTAATTATTTTACTTCTATTTGTCTTTTTATATTTTTTTGTGTCACTGGGTTCTCACATTGACTTAGACCTTACATATCTTTTTATTACTATAAACAATTATTAAAAAATCATGAAAAAAGATAGCTAAAATGCTAGTAAAAATTTTAAATTCCCTTTACAGACCAGAAACGCCTCCAACCATCTTTGCAGGTAGCCTTTAGTGCTGTTTTGGACGCACACGGGCAGAATACAGCGAGCCATAATCAGCCTATTAAGTATGATAAAATATATACCAATATCGGGAACGGTTATGAAAACAGTTCGGGTGTCTTTCATCCTCCAATAAATGGACTTTATCAACTTTACGCATCAGTTGCAGTAGACGGAGATGATTCAGTTCATGCCTTTTTGGAAAAAAATGGCCAAACATTATGCGCTTGTACCGCAGTTCACTATAGTACCGGATCATGCATGGTTATTGTTCCACTTGAAGAAGGAGACACAGTTTGGGTGAGGGAAGTATTCGGAACACATGTTAGAGCAGGAAAATTGTCAGCATTTACGGGACTTTTGCTTAAAAGCTCAAACTAGTCAACGGAATAAAAAGCACGATTTTATCCTGTTTGTTCTTTCTTAAAATTGGACATGTTTTAACCGCTTCATATGTTAATTCTATAAACAACCCGTTAATGTTTAGTATACTGCTATTTTCTATCTTTCTCGTCTTTTCTATACTGAGGGATAGTATTTTGAAAATTTCAGGCTCTATTTGCCTCCAATCATTCTTTATGGTCCATGTTAATAATTGTCAAATATTGAAGTGTTTTATCAAATTATCATTTTCAGTGAACCATGCAACTGTGTAAAAACTTTAAGTTGGCATATATATTAAATAGTTCATTCCATAATGCACAT